TGTTCAACGCGGATTCTAAGAAAGGAATTCCTTATCTATGTCACACGAGCTTTGCCTTCCCCAGCTAAGAAATGTATATAACAATTGACAAGTGTTTATGAAAATCAATACTTTTTTGTTTATACATCATGGCTGATCTCTCCCACAGAGACGTTGGAAGAAGCTAATTCTTAAAAAAAAAAAAAAAAAAAAAATTTTAACGTAGACGACATGATTTATTATCTTTTGATAACTTCAATTGATGTTAACAAATAAAAAAAGTTTAATACTTGTATATATTATTGTACATACGTAGATGCTCTACTTGTTAGTTTTATTATTATTATATATAGTGTTTTTTTTGTAATGACGTGGGTTTCCCTTTTCTCACCCTTTTTTAATTACCTACGTATATTTGAAAAGTTTAATATTCAAATGGTTTGATATTTTACCAAAGGAATTGGTCTGGAAATTGAAAAGACAATAAAATCATGAAATGTACTCTCAAATGAATGAATTCTTCTCAACTTATCAATATATATATTTTTCTTGACCTAAAAAAATTAAGAATTTGAAAAGTCTAATATTCAAATGGTTTGATATTTTACCAAAGGAATTGGTCTGGAAATTGAAAAGACAATAAAATCATGAAATGTACTCTCAAATGAATGAATTGTTCTCAACTCATCAATATATATATATTTTTCTTGACCTAAAAAAAATTAAGAATTGAGTCATAAACTTATAAGTAAAAGGTTAAAATTAATAGACATCTCTACCACTCATCAACTCAATATATTATTAAGTTTGTTAGTAATATTTATTGCCTCACAATCTAAAAGTCAAATATTAATGTCAATGATTTAAATGAATAAGTTGTAATTTTCTCTATTTAGAAGTTAAAAATATTGAATTATCATGCAATATATGAGAATAAATATAAAGAATAAAGAGGTGTTTATTTTAATATTTTATAAATAACTACCAATTATTACTTTTAATCTAATATATTAAATATTTTAAATTATAAATAACTACAACTATTAACAATTTGATATCAACTACATTTATTTAAACACCTAATTTAAACTTCCCTTAATAAAGAGGGTAATCATTAAAACTTCTCCTTCCTCTCTCTCTACTCTATTCATTTCTCACTCTAAAAAATGAGTTTGACCGGTTATAATTGGTCTAATCTTGGTTACTCTTTGTCCATTTTGTATATCTATAAAAACT